GGACACGCCTGCTTATCTGGCGGTGTGTGAACGCGCACTTCAGTGTGTCCCATGTCTGAGAAATACCAACAGGCAGTACACCTGACCTGCACTTGAAGCACATTTATCTGAATATTTCACAGCAGTATTCAGAGCTCAGTCCATCCAACAATTCACAGCAGTCTACTCTAATTATATTGCATATCTGACAAAACAATAGTGTTAGTTGTTTTTACATTATCAACGATTTTAAGAAATAGTTTACCTAAAAAAATGAGCATAAATCAGATTGTACCTGTATCTGTTTTTAAAGCACTGCATGGACTGGCACCAGGTTACTCTCTGCCCACCTCCCGACCCCTCAGGTCTGCTGACCAAGCACTGCTCTCCATGTTAGCCCAGTAAGAACCAAAAGTGATAGAGCATTCTCAGTTGTTTGCCACTGACGATCTTCCCCCTCTATTGAGTCCTTTTGAAATGTCTTTTTTTATCACCATGAAAACATACCCAGACCACACTCTGGTTTTTACTGTGTGCCCAATGCTGTTTGTTATGCTTTTATGAAGCTATTCTATGCTTTTATTTATCTACTGATATCCTTGTTTTATGTGATCGTTCCCGTGTTTTATTTATTGTCTCTGTAAAGCACTTTGGTCAGTCTTTTTAAATGTAACCTGTAAATAAACTTGACATATTTATTCTTTGTGTGCAAATTAAATAAAAGCAACAAAGCGCCTGAGCTCAATTGAGCCATATATTTGCAGGAGTGGCAATATGGCCTGAGTTCAAGTGTGTGCTTGGATTAACCTCAACACAATCGCAGTCGTAACGGGCACTGTGACAGTAACTGGAAATTTAGTACTGGTATTGCAGTCCCTCCGGGACTTTGCAGGCCTTTCTGGGTGTACTGTTGTGGCTGAAATGCCTGGCTTAACAGCAGATTTTTCTTAAAAGAATCGCAATGAATGTTGAGATGTTTTTTTGCAATCACATTGCAGGAGAAAGTGAAAATTGCACAAATAGTGCTACTATTACTGATAACAACTTCCTGGAGGGACTGGTACTGGGACAGAACCAGGTTCTTTTTGGGTTCGCCTTGCGAGCAGACATCAGCTACATTAGAAAGCAGTTACCTGACTCAGGTTAAGAGGCTGAGATCTGCTGGATGCAGCCCGTTGATGGCGATCGGTGTTGGAATCTCCTGGCCGACTGGATTGTTGAGTTGACCCCTTCTTGGACTTTCCAGAGCCACTTGTAGCTTGATCTACCAGAATGAAAACCAGAGTACTGTGAGCACTAAGAAGAGTATAGATTACAATACAGTCAAATGGATTTATGTCGTTTAACCTGGGGTAATTTGATGCAACCACACAAAATGAATAAATATGATGATTGGACAATAATGTTATCCACGACTGGACAGAATTCAGAGAAATGTGGATCTCTTGAGGACCTGGAGCTGCCGGAGCTTTGTGGGTTGTGCTCTCTCCTGGCTGGCTCTTCACAGATGGCATGATGATGGCCAGAGACTTGGTGGGCTGGGAGGTGGTCTTGGGGCTCAGGGGGCTGCTGGTGGAGGAGTCGGAGTCATGGGAGTCGTGTACTGTCACACAGCTGATCACGTTGGTCCTCTGGCTTGTTCCAGAACTGCAGGAGAGAATAAGGAAGGCGTAAATAACCGTTTGAGCAGGATGTAACCTCTCGGTCGTACAGAGGAAATGAGCTCACCAGGCGGCGGGGAACTTCCTGTCATCCTCGTCTTCTGAGTCGCTGTGGATGGTGATGATGCTGACAGCAGGACTGGGTGTGTCAGAGATGATGATGGGCTGAGACTGATCGCCAGCAAAAGCAGAGGTGTTGTGTACCACAGTGGTGGCCGAATGCACTGACGACACAGGCCTGGGGGGGACAAAGGTGCTCTTTCACTGCCTGATTACAATCACAAAATCTTCTCCATAGAAAATTGATCTATTTATGTTGCATTTAATGTTCTTTAAAGCTTCTACTTGCGTTAAAAAACCTTAAGCAATGAATGCTTTTTACACACACATTGAGAGCAATTTAGGGGCTCTGTGTCGTGTAGAGCTGAAACATTTAGTCAATTAATCTTTATGTCAATCAACAGAAACTAAAATCAACTAGTTTGAGTATCGATTTATTGTTCTGAACTGAATATCTTTGGTTTTGCACTATTGATAAAAGCATAAGGCTAGTATTGTTTTATATTTTCCTTACTTTATATCCCATGAAAAAAGAAAATTGAAAAATGTACAATACTTTCTAACTTCCCCTCACTTTGTGGCTCTCTAAGCATACTGGTTCCTACTGAAGATGTAAATCTTTGTAAACAGGTCATGAATATATAAATATTTTAAAAGGCTACATACATTATAGTCAACAGTGTATTTGTTGGGGATTAATACCCATTTGGTGTTCTAGTCAGTGAGCACTTGTTGTAGCAGTTCGGTGTATGTGGCATTGAGTCAAAATAAAGTACAGTGTGTGTGTTCATGGTAATGAGGAACTTGCCATCCAGTGCAACAGTGTAGCTGTTAATGTGTGGCTGAGATATATAAGGCTTCAGGGTCCTGATATTGTGCATGCTGGCTCACTGTCACATTTATACTCTATCATTAATGTTATCAGTAACAAAACCCCTTGGTTTTTTGGGGGTTTTCCTTACTAGAACTATTCAAAATGATCTTGCTGTGAAAAAGGCCTGTGGTTTAAGGAAAATCCCTGCAGCTTTACTGTGTCGCTCCCACTTTGAACAACTGAACAGGAGAAGCCAGGGATCAAACCACCAACACTACAATTTATGGACGACCCCCCCCCCCCAACAAACGTATAGATAATGTGAATGTATGACAGTCTGACAGGATACCTGGCTCTGCTCTCTGCGTGTCGAGCCTTTGACCTCTTGCCCTGTTGGGATCTTGAGTGAGGGGCCCCTGAGTTGTGGCTTTGGGAGGCAGCATGACGGCCAACACCAGAGTCCTGCTGGCTGACGCCATCGTACTGGCTTCCATGACGACCCCTATTAAAAGGAAGAACAGATTTAACTCACTTATTATAAACCGCATCAGTTCTGTCCACATTAACTGAACTTTCCATTAAGACCGGACGCTGTGCTTTTAAATGCAGCATGCGGACACAGAGTCCTGTTAGACCAAACTCACCTCCAGCCAGAAGCCTGTTGACTGTCGGAGATAGAGGCTCCCATGGGTGAGTCGGGCACTACAGCCTGCCCAGGGTTATGGATGGCCATGCCTGGCATCTGCTGCCAGGTGGAAGGGATGAGGATCTGCTGTGTGCCTGCTGGCCAGCCCTGCTGTATGCACACACAGACACACAAACGCATGTTAGAAAATTGCACTTAGTCCAAGTTCCTTCAGCAGTGACACTTAAAGAAGAGAAGAGATTTTTTCATAGGGAAATAAAAGTCACGTGAGCACATGCAGTTTGTAGACATTCCCGTCTCAGTCCTACACCAAGACATCCAGCAGAAGTCACATTAAAACTAAGCCCTGACACACTGACAGCTGGACAAAAGTCGAGATCACCCCGAGTGGCCACCATCTATTCCTCTGCAGAGAGGGCTGCATTTGTTACTGCTCGGAAGGAAACGTGACTTAAGAAGCAGTAATTACAAAAGCAGGATTAAAGAAAAGACAGAAATAAACAAAATGTCACTCAGGTTCTGATGCCAAGCATGCATGTGATACAGTCCCCCGCTGTGAAAATCAGAAAGGGTCCAGAAAGAAGACAGCCCACCTGAAAGGAACGTGTTAGTATTGAGATAAGGACAGAAAGTAATGAAGGTCTCAACGCTGGTCTCACTGCTATTGTGCCTTTTTTAATCTACCACTAGGAGGCGCAAACGTTCGCCACACGTTGGTTAAAATGTGAAAATGTGGAGCCCATTTTGAACCGATTCTTTAACTTTCTGTGTAATTTCTATAAATGTTTTTAATGACTTGATATTTACAAAAATGTGTTTTCAGTGAATAGTTTCACATTTTGGTGATTTAACAATGTTATTTTTGACACTGCACCATGTATTATAGTCAGAGATGAGTAAATGTAATGAGTATAATTTAATGTGAAAATGACCTTCTAAAATGAAGTAATCTGTTAATGGACATTGATAACAAAGAAAATACAGTGCACACCTCTCTGGCCACAAGCTTTAAATATTCTCCTGATTGTGTTATTTTTGTAGTCTACATGGCGTTCTGTGAAATGTCAATCAATGACATGATTTATAAATGTTATGAAAGTCATCATTCTTTTTTATTTACATTTGAGTCATCATTTCCCAATGTATAAAACAGAACCAGGAGTCTGTACAGTTTTATTAATGTGTGTATATTTCTGTCTTTGTGCATACACACAGTTTTAGTTGTGAATCTAGAGTTTTATGCATCTGAGGGCCGGTTTAGCCCTCATCTTAAGCTAAAGTAATTTGTAACTTGAAAACTGACTCAGCAGTTAGGACCAGGCATAGTAAAGACCAGCTGGTGTAACCCCGAAGCTGCAAGCAAAAGCAGAAACCAGACGGTGAGTTGCACATGCGTCCCACGTCCTGCTGCACACCGCTGACATACACCTGCTAGGAGGAAAGAAGGAAGGAAGGAAGGAAGGAAGGAAGCAGTTGTGATGTTGGTGTTTTACCAGCATGGAAGCGTTCTGATCCAGTAAGCCGCTGAGGCTTTCACCCCCGCAGCCAACTGGCAGCCGGACCGAGTCTAAACGTGGCATTCCCGCCACTGAGGCGTACAGGCTGCTGACCAGCAGGGGGTCGAGGGAGGCCTGGGGAGAGGTGTGAGGGTGAAAGGAGTGGAGGTGTTAGGACATCAAAACAAACTGAGAGGACTCATCCGGAACAGACCTGCTCCATATTCTGCATCCTAAATAAAAGGTGTTTTTGGTTTGGATAAAGAGTTTTCAGTTAGTTAACACCAGAACAAGAATAATAGAGTTTTGTGAAGAGAGAATTGAAGAAAAAAAAACAAATACATGACCAACCACATTTACACAAACCAAAGCACAGACGCAGAGGGTCACTGGGGTTGGGTCCCGATAGCCGGGTCCATCTGGCTCCTTCCTGGATTCACAAAGCTCCGAGGATAACAAATCGCTTATTAAATATTTTATCTCTCTTCACTCGCTTGTCTTTAATTAGCAATGTGCTAATTCTGGTAGCAGTTGTTCATTTTCCCTGCACTGACTGTCAGTTTCATTGGTTTAAATTTCACCAGCAGCAGATAATAAAATACCAAAATGAAACTGTAGTTTGGTAAAACATTAACTTCACAACAGGCTCGATGACAGTTTCAAGTCTGTACACGCACATCCTGAAGTGTAATCTTTAATAATACAATGGATTTACACGCTTTTATAAACCGCTGTTTTTATATTTTAAATCCTAATCTGTACAGTAACTAGTGGCTACAGCAGGAATACAAGTATAAAGTAACATAAAATGGAAATACAGTACACAAGTAAAGTACAAGTACCTCAAGATTGTAGTTGTGTACATGTACTTAATTACATTCCATTATCCCAACCCTGGCGCAGTGGTACAGTACCTGTGCCAGCATGCCGGGCTGGATGTGGAGAGACTGGGATGACTGGTTCTGAGGAACTAAGGGTACTGAGTTGTCCATCCTCACTGGATAACCAGAGGGCTTATTGGATGTTTGAAGACCTGTAAGGGAAAGATGGAAGCATATTATGGCTAATCAATGACAAATGTATACAAATTTAATACAAAATCTAAAATATAAGACATTTAGGGATTAGGAAGTTAAATGCACAAAAGCAAAATATCAATAAAAGTTGTATTTCCTTTGTTGCTGGTTGGGCAAATTAATAACAATAGATCAAAATGTCTACATTTTACAACCTAAATGTGATATGAGATTAGTTTTCATGACACTAACATCTTGCATTCTCACCCTGGATGGTGGGCGGGCAAACAATGAGTGTTTGTTGGAAGGGTTCAGTCTGGGTGCAGAGCTGGGTGGGTCTGGTCTGCAGAGGCACGCCCTGCTGGGTTAGACCAGGGATGTTTATGGTGGCCTGCTGGTAGAGGCCAGGCTGATAGTTCAGCAGCGGGACGTTACTGCTGAGGGACAGGGACTGGCCTCCTGTAGAGGCCATCTGTAAGACACAACATGCAGGAAACACCGTATTCAATGGCTTAAAAGATGATACAAGTTCTGCCTCATTTAATAAAGAGTTCTAAATGTATGTGCAGGAACAAGTACAATTGGTGTTTATCAAACATGTATACGCATAACTTCAGGCGACCAGCAATGTTCAAACAATGTCACATCCATATACACCTGCAGGTAGAGACTCATTTACATTTGGACCTGAATGTCATATATGGTCAACCACATCATCATTGGAAGCTCTTGTAGCCTTAATGTACAGTTACTTACTGACAAAGGTAGCAGCCAAAAAAGATCAACACAAAAGATACTGTAGTGATGCTGGAGCAAGGTGTTTGGGAAAGTTTCAATCGCAACCTGCAATCTCACCACTAGATGTCTCTAAATCCTACACATTGGTCCCTTAATGGTGTTAGTATTGTTTCCACTATTTCCCCACTGCCTTTATTGTTATATAATTAGTGATTATGAGCAAATGCAGTTAAACTACGAGTGTTGTGCACGATTCGTCAAAATCTACCAATCCATGCAAAAAGACGGTTTCATTGAAACAATGCCGTGCCTGTTACCCTTTAAACAGTGTGTAATGTCAAATTTAAAATGTATGGCAAGATCACCACAGTAATAAATTCATTAAACAAAACCATTTGACAATTCCCCAAGTGTACAATATGGTGACACACGACAGCAGACGTACAGCAGCTCCACTTCAGTACAAGCAGGAATTTGTTTTACTTTTGCTTTTTTACAGTTTTTAGAAAATATATGCAGCTCAGTTAAATCAATTAAAAGTGATGGTACTGAAGCATAAGAGTTCATCATTAATGCAGATTGATTTAACTGTATGTCACCAACAAATCCTCCGTATCTTTCATATGTGCTCAGTGGTGCAGTACTAGAGAAAAAAGACAAAACAGACGCACGACTTTTATAATTTCTGACAGAAATGCTTCTCTTGTATTCCAAATATAAATGGAAATACCCGTCTTCAGGAACTCACATTCTCTATCACACGAAGAAGCCTCCACTTTACAAAGCGACTGATATAACAAGTGAAAACTGGATCAGCAAGAATAATGTAATGAAGAGATCAGAGACGATGTTCTCACCTGATTGTGCTGGTTTAGTTGGCTACTGAAGGTGACAGTGAGGTTGGTGGCTGCACTTGGGGTATTGTTGCTAGCAAACATGTTTTTTCCGTTCTCAAAGGCGCTGCATCTGCGTTTACATATATCCATATTTTGGAAGCAGGACTTCACACTATAAAATAACATTTAAAAATCAATTAATCAAACATGAACACTGCCAGGATCCTGGAAACTAACAGCAATCATTTACAGAAAGTATAGAAATGGAAAATGAACTTGTTGTCTTACTGTGAGCTGTGAGGGAAGTGCAGCAGGTGTGTCATGGTAACAAAGGGGTGGTTCAGTGTCTTCATGGGCGTGATCCGTTTGTCTGCGTCTAGCGTCAGCATCTTCTTCAGCAGGTCTATGAACTCCCGCCTGTCGGCCTTCTCTGCCAGGATGTCGGTCCCCTCCAGGTTTGTCATGTTCACCTGCAGAGGGACAGGAGGTCGGTGTTTGTCAACCTGCAATATGCAAAAGGTCCTGGTACAAACGTGTTGTGCTGTGAATTTAAAACAACCAGCAACAATATTACTGCAGGATCCTTCCTCACCTGCATCATATCGTCTAGACAGTTGAAGATGTATTTCCTCGCCTCCTTGGACTTGATGCCCATCTCTGCCTCGTGCTCTGCAGGTGTCTGCAGAGAAATAACCACAACAGGACGTCAGTATATATGTACTGTATATTTTGTGTGTTCTCTTTGTGGACCGACCTCTGCAGGGTCACTCACTTTGAGTCTCCAGAGGGGGTAGCTCGAGTCAGGACCTCTGTTGAAGAAGCGGCTGGTCTTGGTTCCCGCACTCAGCAGGTACTCTGCTGGAAGGCCCTGGGTCTGGGAAATGTAACGAATCTGAGAGAGACAATGGGGGAAAGTTTGGAGAAAAGGTTAGCTGCTAACGTAAGACAAATGAAAACCTTGTGACCTTTACTGTCGGTTTATACAGTTAATAACACCTGAAGGTTGGTTGTGTCAGCCACTGAATGAGGTCTTCATGGTTTACACATTAGATTCAAGTAAAAAAGTTGAATATGCTAACAGTCTGTGATTATTTTAGTTAAACTGTCACATATCACCAAACATGTGTGACTATAACATTAATAAAAGGTTATATATATATATACAATAATATAGCAGCAAACAACTATTTCCTATGAACATATTTAGTAAAGTTAAACCGTCCTGAGCAGAGAATGACGTCACACTACCTCCCTGTTTTGATGCCTGAGCAGTGTCAGGCCGTGTGCACTTATTGGCACTGAGGAGAGCAACTGAAACGGCTGTTTTTCTTACCTAACTCAGTGCATTAAGGATTTATTTCCACCAAACCAGAGTTGGTTATTGTTGGAAAAGTGGAAAGACTAACAAAAATTTTTTTCGTTGAGTTTTATTTTGTATCTTTTACAGTTTGAATGAAGTTATGACGTTACAATGATGTGCAAGGTAAAATGATCAGTTTTCTCAATGGAGTCTGGTTGCGAGTGATAGACCTTGAACAAAAGGTCTATATCTATTAGGCATCAATTAAGGGGTTTATTTCAACCAAACCAGCATTGGTGATTGTTGGAAAGACAATGGAAATGCTAACAAAGACTTTGGAAGAAGATTTTGGTGAGTTTTATTTTGTTTCTGTCGAGTCTATGCAATTATCTGCGAGGTAAAACGAGTGGTTTGTCAACGGAATCTGGTGGGCCAGAATCTTTCCTATTAAAAAAGACAATAAATGTCACTTAAACATATATGAGAGTGCTGCAGCTGACCTGATCATACTCTGAGGCACCGGGATAAAGGGGCCATCCCAAGAACAGCTCAGCAATGACACAGCCCAAAGACCACATGTCGATTGCTTCGCAGAAAGGAAGGCCCAGAATGATCTCTGGAGCTCTGCAAGAACAATTTACAGGATCGTACAGGCAATTTACATATTACAAACCCAATAAAATCCTTTACTGTACAGTCCAAGCTAACATCCTCACCTGTAGTATCGTGACTGCAGGTAGGTGGAGCAAACCGCTTTGGACACGTGGCTGGCAGAGCCGAAATCAATGACCTTCACTCTGTACGGCTGCCTCAAGGGGTCCACTAGCATAATGTTTTCTGGCTTCAGGTCGGCGTGGATCAGCCCCAGGCTCTTCAGCTTCATCAGTGCGGTGGCGACCTGCTGCAGAATAGGCCGTATGCACTTGAGCAGCAGGGGGCTGAACTTGCTGTGCTTCAGGAAGTCGTAAAGGTTCTGCTCCAGCATCTCAAACACAAGGCACGTGTGGTTCTTGTGCTGGAAACACTCGTATGAGCGGACGAAGTTGAACTCGTCCGCGTTCTCTGTGCTCAGCCTGCTAAGGATGCTCACCTACAGGGGAGGAGGAAGAGGAGGGTGAAGGTATATTTGAGCTCATTAATCAATAATGGTGAAGACACTTTCAGCTAAACATGTTTTTTTCTGAGCACCAGCATCATTTTTCAATCGTTTTCAATAAGGAAACAGCGTAGCAGCATGCTGCCGCCTAGAGAAAAGGCAGCGCGTTGCTCCTTTTCAGGCAATTATATCGTCACCCTGGTAACCGAGATAATGGAGGAGAAGCTTGTTCTGGCTGTGTATGTCTATCCTGATCATAACTGAGACAGAAAAACCCATTTGAGGGAGCAAATCAGTCAGACACTGAATGCTGCCGGTGAGTGCTGTGCTTTTATCACCCTACGTGTTGTTAGCTGTCCAGTCAACCCTCTGTTAATGTTTTTTTTTTTTCACTCACTGCCCAAGTGCTTCATCCAAGCGCTCCCCAGCGCCCTGCCAGTGCCTTTCTGCCAAAAACAAACACTGTTATTTTCGGGAGAAGCTGGACTGGAAATGGCATCATTTTCCCTAGTTTGAGTCTTTGCCTGTACATAAATATATGTGTACATAATATATATATATGTATATAATTGGAGGAAAGTGTCTCCAACCATGTTGAGCCTTGGTTCAGTCGAAGAAACCAATGAAGGGAAGGAAAATAAGAAAAGTTCCTATTGTATTTTCCAAACTTCTATTTGGGATTCTCATGTTTTGGGACAATCATCTGTTCCAATAATGCTTTTGGGGACACAAGCAAAAAGAGTCAGAGTTATCAGAGTTATCGTTCTTTGCAAATAGTGTTCACATCAACTTCCCAGTCGTAATTACAACTTGGATTTTTCAGAAAGCTCTAATATATATCTGACTCTGACTAGACGCCTCAAATCCGACCAGATCTGATTAACATTATTATTATATTGTCAATGCTCATTATTTGAATCTTCACAAGACCAACTCTGTGCTCCTACAACCATCTTGATGACGTGAACGCTCGCAATTCAATTACATAGGAATCTTTCTCTCCTCTCTATCATCATCCTATCTGAGAATCTGCTGCCGAGGGTTAAGAATGAGAAAAGGTTTCTGTCTATCCACCCCGGAGTTTTTAATGCTTTAAACACAACATACTCACTTCAATTTGACCTTGCCGAGCATAAGAGGGATGATTCTTCAAGATTTTGATTGCCACTATCTCGTTTGTGCCCCGCTTCCAGCATTTCGCCACCTGGCCGAAGGTGCCGCGTCCCAGGAACTCGAGCACCTCGTAGCTGTTGGACATCGAGCACAGAATCTCGTGCTGGACCAGCTGGTAGTCGCCCTCGCTGTGGGAGTTGCTGCTCTTCGTGGTAGAAGTGGAATGTGCTATGGACTGAGCCGTGGTGGTGCCCCCTCCGCCACCGGTGCGGTTTGAGACCACGGGGGCCGAGAGCTCCTCCAGTATCTGGACGCTGTCGCTGCTGTCTACCTCCTCGCTCTTCCGAAAGCTGTACTGCTTGTGGTAGAGGTGCACCGTCTTGGGAGGGAGGTTGGCGGTCCTTGACACGGCGGGGCTGGAGGAGGAGGACGGAGAGAAGAGGAGGCAGCCCGGCGAAGGCTACCCTGTGGCTGTCGCCGCCGCACCACCGTCTGCCCTCCCGGGAGCCGGGCTGTCGGGGTGCTGGTTGGAGTTTTTGTACACCGGGTTGCAGTGGGCCCAGGTGGAGGGTGCAGTTCCCTGGGTGGCTTCTGCTGAGTTTGCCCATTGTTCCCAGCTGGTGGGACACTCCCAGGCCCGGGTTTATCCACTTTGGAGGCATCTTTTGGAACCGGGAGTAAGGCACTGGGGGACGAACAGGAACGAGGAGGAACACCTGGGAGCGCGACGCCATGTCTGCCGGAAGGATCAGCAAAGCGAGCCATCAATGAGACGTTAAACGCCCGGAGACCATTAGGAGAGAGATTAGTTATTTATTGGATACGATGCCTGACAAGATTATGAAGACCTGAAATTATTGAAATTAAAGTCGTTTCTTTTTTCAAAGATCTTAAAGAAGTGATCCACGCTTTTATACCTCCCGCCTTGACTACCTGCAACTCCCTTCATAACGGATTGTCAGTCCCCTTGTCGCCTGTTCCAGAGCGCCAGTTCTTTTTTATTCATTGTTTTCTTTAATTGTGATTTCTCTACCCCTTCTCGGTCTTGTACGCACTTAAGTTGAGGATTGTTTTTAAAATGGTGCTTATAAAAATTTGATTGATTTTGGAAGGACCAGGTTAATTCAAGAATTTGCTTGCTTGTTCCTTGCCTGAATTTAAAGTAAACGAATATTTTTAAGGTTTTTGTTGCTTATGGCTTGGTGAACTGATTGCGTGTGGCCCGGGGCCAACTCCCAAGATCTGAGCCAGTATCTTGGTCAAGGCCCTTGGGACCTAGAACTAGTTTTTATTTATTAGTTTTTATTTTCATCATTATTGCTTGTATAATTTTTTTAAAATGGTCTAAATTATATGTTTAATTTACTTTTTTTGTCATTTCTGTTACTTATTGTGGGCTTCTTTTTACATATTGGGTTATCTTAAAAACTCCAGAATTATGTCCATTTTGTGAAGACTAATTGCATTGTTTTATTGGATGTTTGTTATTTAAAATTTATTAGATCTAAACTTTTGAAGATGAACCAAGCCCTATAATAACACAAAAAAGTCTCATCCTGCAAATTAGAAAAGCCAAAAAGCTAACCAAAAAGAGAAGAAACACTTAATACGGACAGATTTATTGTTATTAAAAGTCTTAAACTACATCAGGAAAAACTATGGATCAATACTAACGGTAAGTATTAA